ACCAACGTTCACAGCTTGGATTAGCGACTCAAATTGGCTTATTGCGTCTTGTAATATGAGTAGTTGCTCCACTGCGTTTTTACTTGGTGGAGCTTTGACTCGAACGGCTTTTGGCTCTTTCCCTTTGTTGAATTGCTTACGCCACATCATTACTATAGCCACCAGGATGAATATCGATGGTAGTATGAAACCGATCCACCCACTTCACAACATAAGAAGATTGTTGATGTCATTACACACCAGACCAAAAATATAGCATCATCACCTTCATGAGTTATTATGTGATGGCACTCTATCAACCTATGCCATCATTTCTTATAAAGATGAACTCTTACCTGATAATCAAATAGCTGACCAAGATCACGAACACTGTCGATTTATATGGCTCTTGCCAAGAGGCTAAGAGTTTTACACGCAAAGCTAGTTTGATGAAAGGGAGCAATAGTTCCTGCCATGATATTTTTGGTTAATAGTAAGTATGAAACCAATAAAAAGGAAAAGATGAAGAGGAAGTATCTCGTGATACCTTCATTACTGCAACATTAGTGTCAATTCCTTCTACTTTCACTTGTTCCACAGTCGCCTGAGCAGCTTCAGCTCTGTCTGTGTCTAGGATTGACTGTTTCAGAGCTATCTCCAATGGACTCGTCTCCCCAACACAAAAATCTCCTACGATTGGCATGTCTTCACCCATATTCGTCCCAGTTTCTAGATTCAACCCAAAATGCTCAAGCAATAAGAGTGAGACTGGAGATAAGTTCGAGGGCCATTTCATATACTGAACAGAACTGACATCAGACTGAACATCGGTGGTTATGCGAGAAACTCGGCTGTATAGAGCTTCTAAGACCATATCTCCACCAGGTAGGCTTTCTGCTAGGTTAAACATAAGCAATGTTTTGTATTGGGAAGAGAAGACCTGGAAAGCTTCTTTTATTGCACGGTAGCGGAATATGCCAAGGATTGCCCTAGCAAGTATTTCTGATCTTTGAATCCCTTTAAAGTTGTATTTTCGAATGAACCATTGCACACGAAGGATCTCCAGGCATATACCCAACCAGTAGTCTCGACGAGCATTTCCTTTGAACTCTGTAAATTCAAAATAAACCGGCTCTGGCCTGTACATACCAAAGAAGATCACACAGAAGACATAAATCCATGAGTACGAGATATTGTGAATAACATTGTATTTCACTAGAAATAACATTGTATTTCACTAGCACACGTACACTATAACTGATTTGTACATGATGGCTTTATCAAAGATACGAGCACCCAATGGCCCTGTCAACTCAGGTTTGATGACCTGTTTTGTGTCTTCGGTGAGATCATATCGCATTGGCTTATCACTACCACCCATTGAATCAAAATACAGAGCGCAGTTGGTAAGTGTCAGTTTCCCTACAAAAGGGAACGCTTGAAAAGTTATTGACATGGAAACAAAATCAACCAACTTTCATGTTTCTCCTTTTGCTTAAAGTTTATTGCCAGTGCAGAAGGTCAGCCTAAATAAAATAATTATATGCAGAGATGTCTCCCGAAGCTCACCAGGCCATGCTGAGATGCCCACGTGTTTAAAAACTGGTAAAACAGGATTGGCACCATCCATATCAAGAACTATTTCTCCTTTGGCAAGCTGAAGACTGGCAGCTGAAGGTCCAAGAGCGCTTTTAGCAGCCTTGAAAATTCTGCATATAGAAAACGGGCAAGGATGAACCACAGTATAATAAATCTTCAACTCAATGTTAGCTAACAAGGAATACGGTATTCTAAAACAGAGCCGTGCTATCCAAAAAGATTCATCCTTCCTCTAATACCACTGACTGAACCAAAGAATAATATATTTCAACTCAATGTTAGATAACAAGCAATACGGTATTGGCATTATATGTTGCCAGCTAAGGAATCATGGGTGTGCTTGAGGTAAGAATAACGCAAAAGCGATGCTAGAGAAGTAAAGCGAAGTACATAAAGTACCAAAAATGACATGAAAAATACGTTTGATAACTCTTCAGATGGTGCAACAAGTCAACAAATGCAGAACAGTAAATTGAGGGGGTAATGAACAGTGGTTAGTTCATACTTGTCAAGTGTACGGATGTATTTGTCATATACGAGAAAATGAAGCCTGTGTCCCGACGAGCTAGTCAATGCATCAAAAAGATTATGTACGGTGATTGCATCTGCAATGGCAGGACAAACCGGAGCAATTCTTGCAAAAGCCTCCTGTCCAACAGACTTTTTCTCATCAACCTGTAAATCATATTTTCATCGGAAAAAAACCTCTTAAAACCTTCCAAATTTTGACTAACGCAGAAGCAAAAAAAAAGGTCTAAGAAAGAAATAACCTGCATTGCCATACTTGTAGGACTTGAATAGAATAAAGACCACCCATCCTCATCCTCTGAGTCCTGCGTAGAGGGAGACACTGCATCCTAATAAGATTAAAAAATCATTATTATCATTCTGTTTTAAGAAGTAAAAAAAAAATATCAACAAGAGAGAGTCAGTCTCACTTTGGATTCATTCTCACTAGTGACACTGGGAGTCTCCCAAGCAAGCATCATATCAAACATGAGCTGACGAAACTCTTGATCACTCAAGTAATTAGGCTGCTTCATTACTTGATGAAGAGCCTGAAACGAGCAGAACTCTAGAAAGTTCCTTGCGTATGTTAAGAGCTGCTTAACACTCTCAGGTAACTCTACATCGAATCGGTGCTGCAAATCTTGCGTTGGAATCTTGAGGATACTGAAACACAATTAGCACACACACACACACACAAATATTATTCTTAATTAATCAATCAATTTAGCAGATGCAATAAGGACGGAGATAATCATATGAATGTGTACATTGAACAGCGAGAGACGACGGAATTAGCGAGGAGGGAGAGCTGAGGGATAGGTTTCGGGGAAGCGACGGGAGACGGAGAAGCATCTCCGTCGCGACCGGCGGAGGATTTCTTGCGGTGGAATAGGGATTTCAAAGAGTTCTGCTGGTTTCTCATGAAACTCTCAAGCATTCCTACTTTCGCATCGCCGCCGTCTTCTTCCATCGGGGAATCAATCAGATCGGAATCGTTAACCGTAGAAATGACTCTCAGATTATTCCTTCGTGTGCAAGATTCGCAGACTCTTGAGTCACGCAAATTATTATCTTTTGAGTACTGTGAGAGAGAGATCTTTCTTCATCACCCACGCACGCTTTGCGGTTATTTTTATCCAGAAGTGGAATGGATTAATGTTGCGAATCAAACCGAATTAAACCGGTCGGTTTATATTATTATGGCACGGAACAATTAAACATTGCTTTGTGAATTAAACCAAACGGTTAAGATTCCGAATAAGCGATTGGTTTTGGATCATACATAAGAATGTAAAATTACAAGTATTTATAGGGCTGGGCATCATTACTCGTTACTCCCCTTAAAGTCACTACTCGATTCGTACCCGCTTTGAAAATTTAAGTACTCGGTGTTGTCAAGACAAGTAACAAGACGACAATTTTCATTACTTGCAAGATTAAGTCAAGTATCAAGTATGATTATTATTTTCTGTACTTGACTCGTTACGTCCCCTTACTTGTTCTATTACTTGCTATTTGTTACATGATTTATTAATTATTTGTTCATATTTATCTTTTATTTTATTTGTATTTAGGATTAGACACAAATAATCATTATTCTTCTTATACTTGTTACTTGTTTCGTATCCATCTTAATTTTTAAATACTCGTCATCATTTAGTCAAGTATTACATAGCAACAAATATTAAAAACCTAGTTATATGATTTGTTATTACATATTACCTATTTAGAGAAGACATTTTTGTTATCGTGGAAATTATACACTGTTTATATATCGTAATATGTATTTTTTATTTGTCTTTTTATAATGTGAACAAATATTCCTTTTAAAATAGTTTACATATTGTTTTAAGCAGAATAAAAAAAATAAACTTTGGTGACTATTTTTACTAGAAAATTATTTAGTAAGTAGTCTTAAATATTCAGAAAAATGTGTAAATAATTCACAAGTATTCATAAATAGTAAGTAACATAGTAAGGGAAGTAACTTGCAAGGCATTCATTTTTGATCAAGTCTCAAAATAGCAAGTACTCTTTTTTAACAAGTCAAGTACAAGTCGAAAATTTTATTATTCGTACAAGGCAAGTCAAGTCGCGAGTATATGCAAAATAGCAAGTACTCGTTTTTAACAAGTCAAGTAAAGTCGAAAAATTTATTATTCGTACAAGGCAAGTCAAGTCGCGAGTACATGCAAAATAGCAAGTACTCGCCTTGTGCACAGCCCTAAGTATTTATTAGGTCCAAAAATTTTGTACCCGAAAAAAACGACCAGAATGGATCTAGACCCAAAAAGAACAGATCTGAATAGACCTGATCTGTTAAGAACCGATTAATACCCGGAATAAAAAAAACATAAACATGCAAAATTATGGTTTTTGTATTCTATTTTCTATATTCTAATTTATGATTTAGTTAAAATATTTTTTATTATCAATATTTGTTATTATTTTTGTAACATTTTCAAGTAATTTGAAGTTTTAGATGTAAAACTTAGAGTTTAAAATGTTTTATTTTTAAATATAATAGGTTAGATTAAGTTATTTTGTAAAATTTTAAATATATATGATAGATTTCGACTAAATTTGATGAAATTTAACTATTTCGTATTATTTTAGATCGTGAATACCCAAACTCAACCTATCTGTATGAGATCCAAAATTATGGATAGTTTATGAATATTATAATTATAGACTTAAACTGATTTGGACCAGGAAAAAAACAATTTAAACTTGAACAGAAATTTTATAAGTACCTAATAAAACTAAATTTCTAAGATTTAAAAGATTGATCCGAGAAGAACCTATTCGAACCTGATCTGAATGTCCAAGCCTATCTGTGGGAGATCTTTCGTTATCACCCACGCACGCTTTGCAGTCATTTAATCCAAAACTGGACGAAAATCAAACCGAATTAAACCAGTCGGTAATATTATTATGGGACGGAACTATAACCATTGCTCTGTAAACTAAACCAAACGGTTAAGCTTCGGTGTAAGCGATTCGTTTTGGATCATATATGAGAATGTAAACTACAAAAACAAATGGTCACACAATGCTTCTGTTACTTTCTTTCACTTTGTTGTTTGTAAGAGAGAAAAGAATAAGCGTCTTGTGTTGACTCCATTGTTGTTGAGGCTCTAAAGCTTGGATTTGCCACTGCGAGGAGGGTCCTTTGCCCAGAGAGGAGGGATGATTCTATGGTCTTCTTGCACTGGCTCTTGTTTTTTCTCGGTCTCTTCTTCCTTGTCCTCTAGAACCTCTCTAGAGAATGCATTAGGGTTGGCTTTGACACAGTTTTGCAAAGCCACAAAAGGATGTACACAGTCTGATCCCTGCAACAACAACATTACACATCCATCCATCAATGTTTATATCATCCTAAACAATCTAGTAGTATATTTTCAGTTAAAGGTGGTTGTATTACCTTTTCTTCAGCAGTGCTCATGAGAAAGCAACGGAAAGCGTCAGTGAACTGAGACCCGCAAGATCCTTTACGAAGATCAGCTATGCAAGGACAGTCTAGTGCTTTCTGCGCCTTGGCTTCAAGCGACTAATGGAATCATTTTGTTTTGTCAGATAACTCAAAAAAAGGGATTTGTGAATTAAGATAAAAATATAGAGGAATAAATAACCTCATTCTCATTGCCATCCTCACCAAACGCTGCAGCTTCTGTCATATCAAACACAGAGCGTATAAGTCATAACTTGTAATCAAAGAGCATTACAAAGACTAAGACTTAAAAATGCAACTTCTATGGTGAGCAAAATCATACACATCATCATCATTATCATCACCAGTCAAGCATAGACCAGCATTTAACTAATTCAACTAATAAAGCATCATTTCGATGTTAGATTCAGAATTGTCGAACCTGCAATTAGAGAATCCATCGGAGACGACGATGTATCATCAGAATCCCGCGGCGAATTCGTAGACGGAGGAGGAGGAGGAATACTAGTCGTCGTCGTCGTCGTTGTTGGAACTTCGGAGCTGTCGTTACTCTGAGTTTGACCCATCTCTTCCGATGATGGAGCAAAAACCTCCCGAATAAGTTTTCGTTAGCCGCCGACGAGAATCAGATCCCACTGAAAATGAAAAAGGAATCAATTGGGCCTGATATTTTAATATGGGCCCTAATATTTTAATATGGGCCCTAATAGTTTAATATGGGCTTTAGCTATTGGGCCTGAATTTTGAAAATTCTTGGTCTTTTGTATCGTAGCTTTTGTTTCTTAATTGGCGGATTCTACTTTCTTTTCGAAAGGACCCCCCCAAAAGAGAGGAAAGTTCAAATTCAGCCAACAAGAAACAACAGCGAAAAAGAAGTACAATGATTTTAAATCGTGCTTAGGTTGTTAAGGGAATATGAAGTAGTAGGGTCAAAAGCTTTTTAATATAAAACCCAGAAACACACCAATTTGATCTCTTATTAACGACTCCCACTATGGTCGACTCTAGCTGTCAAAGTCGATGCACTTTACTCCCATTTTTCAAAATTTCAAACCTCTTTTAGACGTTAATTATAGGAGAAACTCAGCGTTATAATATAAATTCATTTTCTTACTCAAATAATATAGAACTTGAACCGGATTGATAAACCCGGTTATCAACTTCTAAACCTAGCGAACCGCTGCTTGATGTATGTAGTATGTAAGACGTCGACCACATTTGAGGCGCGGATACATACATGTCACATGTCGTTGCATCAATTGTCTTCTAGGTTCATGAATTTTTTTTTTCTTTTATACTACGTGGCACCTTATGATTTGCTTAACTTTTGAAATGGAAAATCACTAGAAACAAATTATTTAAATATATCTGTGTGTTTTATATAGTGATTGGTTCATGTCCTACACGGACCGTTCTAACATCAAGCCGCAATTGACGCTTTTGTAATACACTTGCGAGAGAAAATTTTAAACAATATGGACTACAAAAAGCCTTACAGCGAAGAACAGCAAATAAAGTTCAAAATCAAACTCTCACAAATATTAAATTTGTATCTTTAAATTTTTCTTATTTTCGTTAGATTCGCTATCGACAGAATCATATTTATTTCTCGCCGTGACGAAAATGATGATGCTTGTATAATAGAGATAAGGAATATAAATACACCAAATGATTAAGAATTCATGTTTTTGGCTAAAAGTTAAACACTCGTAGACTGATCACCGTTAACATGATTAAAATATAGTAACTTCATATTTTAGAGTAAATATTAGTATATGTTAAGTATAAATATGCTATGGAGTAGCAATAAAGAGATAATAGTATATGTTTATATATGTGAATTAGATATTTTTGGTTTCTACAAACCTATCCAGATTCGGAAGAATCTGACTCAAATCTCGTTTGAAAATTTATAATAGTCGAACATAGTTAATTTTAAAATTCAAAAAACTAATTAATACCCGAAGCGACGGGTATAAATTGTAATAATGCATCCGAACGTGTAATTGAATAGCTGATTATGTAAACAAAAAATAAATCTTTATTAACCGTTTAAAATTTTGTTACTAATAAAATAATTTCATTCAAACATGTGAAATTGTTAAGGTTAACACACATAAAATAAATGACGTCGAATTATTATGTAAATAAATTTAATAAAATATTTCAAAAGAGTGGAAAATATAATAAAATACTTAAAATAGGTAAATTATGATTTGTGCTTTTATAATAAATTTATTTGGAAAGAATCAATTAATAAAATAGTTAAAATGAGTGAAAATAAGAAACCAAAAAATGTAATATATCTGTTACAATAAAGTTAATTTTATTTTGTACTTCAATTTCAACAATATAGATAATATAATAAAATTAAAAGATTGCTGATAATATAGCAAGTGGTTATTGGATTATTTACATTTGAATTATTACTTTCTAGCATTTCTATCGGTGAAAGAAAAGCCGTCTCTGGTGACCACATAATGGATGGGGGGGGGGAGTTGTGTTACTGTCATTACAAAAATAAGCTTTGTAGTCTCTACCGGGAAATGTTATAGTAGTGGAGATTTGTTTGCTTTAATGATGGTTTTGATACCAAAATTTCGACGACCCATATCTAGTGTTTTAATTTCCATCTCGATTTGTCTTACAAAAGTAGATGTATATCAATTCAACAAGCTGCCAAAGCTAGTATTGCTATAACTATTCAAAATGATTTTGACTTGTAAGTTCAGCGACCCATATCTAATTTCCATTTTATGATGTGATGAAGTACATTTATCACAAATTAACAGGTTGGCATTCGTAACATCGCACTATGATTGTCAACGATCATCCACAAGTGCTAAAAAATTTGGTGTTCAATGAGTATTTTTTTCTGATCAAAATCTCTTTTTTTTTTTAACAATCGAAATGTATAATAAGATAGAAACTATGTATGTATTAAATATAAATCGATGGTTTAACCAACATATGTAATAAGATATTTAAACTAGAGTCATCTGGTTATCGTTAATTCTTTTCCTTTTCAGACAAAAAGAATCTTTACGTATTGGGTTTAATCACTATCATTAAGACATGGTTATGAGCAATATGTATAGATCAAATACTTTACGAATTACGAACATCTTTCTATTGTAAAGTATTTTGTTCAACACATTTTTTTCCATAACATGTATTATAAAAAAAATCCATGTCTTAATCATACTGATAAAACCTAATAGTACATAAAGACTCTTTACTCTTTCAAACCCAATACATTGATTCTACTGTAGACAAACACCTACTACACAATAATGCCTCATAATCACAAACGTATTTAATCCGGATTTATCAACTTTTTTGAAAATTTATAGTACGTACTGTATTGTTTTAACTTTTATTATGAGATAAATAGTGGCTTATATCACGAATTCACATGAATCTATTAATGATGTCTTCTTGAGAGCTTGAAAATGCAGAAGAAGAATGCTTATAATGTAAAAAAACAAACGAGTGTAAACAATTTTCAAACTGATCTGCGCTCCAACGTTCGAAACTGAAACTAGGAACCTCGTGATTCATCCAACGGTCACAATTCTCCATGTGAATCTCTTCAAAGACCCTGTGTAAATTTTCAAAAAAAAAATATTATTCTCTTTTTTCACCAATGTTATTTAATAAAGGTGGATCATTTTTCTAGATCCAACCAGACTTAATCCACCAATCCTTTGATTAAAGTGAAAAGAAAATACCTTTTCGCAGCTCTTTCTTTTCTTTATGGATTATTATACCTTCCTGTCTAAGTGAAGGAACAATAATAAAACCTTTTTTTTTTTAATTATCCAAATTCAAGTCAAAGTTAACTCCTGTCAGTTTCTTTTGTCTGAGAAAAGCAATCTTTATTTTTAACCATCTTTACGTTAAGCTGATCAACAAAAAAAAAAAACCCATTTTCCCAAAATGCAAAACCTGAGATGGGTTTTGAATCTCTTGTTCATCTCTTCTCTTCTCCATAAACTCACTCACTCCTCAGCACAAGTTATCTGCTCAACCCAAGACAGAGCAGCACTCCTAGCTTTCAAATCAAGCATCGTCGAGGACACAACCGGAGTTCTGTCTTCATGGGTCGGTAAAGACTGTTGCAATGGAGACTGGGAAGGTGTTCTCTGCAATCCAGCCACCGGAAAAGTCACAAACTTGGTGCTACAAAACTCCTTGAACGACCCTACTCTTTACATGAAAGGCACATTATCACCTTCACTGGGGAATCTCGGATCTCTCCAAGTTCTGGTCATTACAGGAACCAAATTCATCACTGGTTCGATTCCCAACAGCTTCTCTAACTTGACTAGTCTCACCCAGCTCGCCCTCGAAGATAATTCTCTCCATGGCAGTGTTCCTTCTGGTTTAGGACATCTTCCATTGTTGGAATCTCTTTCATTGGCTGGAAACCGCTTCTCAGGTGTTGTCCCGGCGAGTTTGGGGAACTTGAGAAGCCTTACGACGATGAGTTTGGCTCGAAACTCTTTCTCAGGACCAGTCCCAGTGACTTTCAAGAACCTTCTCAAGCTTCAGATTCTTGATCTCAGCTTCAACTTGTTATCTGGACCAATCCCAGACTTCATAGGCCAGTTTAAGGATTTAACCACTCTTCATCTCTCTAGCAACAGACTCTCCGGGGCGATACCAGTTTCTGTATACAACTTGGGGAAGCTTCAGGACATGTCGTTGGAGCGTAATGATCTCACTGGGCCACTCTCTGACCAAATCAGCAATTTGAAGTCACTTTCTACCCTTGACTTGAGCAGCAACAAGTTCATTGGTCATATACCTGCATCCATTACAAGACTGCAGAATCTTTGGTCTCTCAATCTTTCAAGAAACCATTTCTCTGATCCTCTGCCTATTGTAGGCAGGGGGTTTCCTTCTTTACTGTCCATCGATCTTTCGTACAATAATCTTAATCTTGGAGCAGTTCCAAGCTGGATCAGGGATAAGCCACTCACGGAGATCAACTTAGCTGGTTGTAAACTGAGAGGAGCCTTTCCAAAGCTAACAAGACCAAGAGACGTGATCTCTCTAGACTTGTCTGACAACTTTCTCACTGGTGATGTTTCAGCTCTTCTCGCCAACATGACCAGTCTTCAGAAACTGAAGCTCTCAAAGAACCAGCTCAGATTCGATCTCTCCAAGCTCAAGTTGCCAGAAGGGGTGTCCTCCGTTGATCTGAGTTCAAATCTAGTGACAGGGTCGCTTTCAAGCCTGTTAAACAACAAGACAAGCCGCTTCTTGGAAGAGATCCATCTCACCAACAACCAAATCTCAGGGAGGATACCTGATTTCACAGAGAGTTTGAACCTGAAAGTACTCAACATAGGGAGCAACAAAATCAGTGGACAAATCCCAAGTTCAATATCAAACCTTGTTGAACTCGTGAGACTAGACATCTCAAGGAATCACATTACAGGAGAGATACCTCAAGCTTTAGGACAGCTCTCGCAGCTCAACTGGCTCGACCTCTCGATCAATGCACTTACAGGAAGAATCCCAGATAGCTTGTTGAACATCAAGGCAGTGAAACATGTGAGTTTCAGGGCCAACAGACTGTGCGGATTAATACCACAAGGAAGACCATTCAACATCTTTCCAACAGCTGCTTATCTGCATAACCTTTGCTTGTGTGGCAAGCCGTTACCACCTTGCAGGAACACTAGGAAGTGAACAAAACAATCATTTTGAAGTGGCCAGTCCAACGCTGACTTTGATCTTAATCCCATCACCTTTACGCATTTCTTCAAAAAATAGATGATATCTTCTATTTGTCTTTTACTCTTTCACTTCCTATTCTATTGTTTTAATAAGTACTTTCTATACCTTTGTGATTCTGTTTTTATCTAAATAAATTATTCTCATTTTGATTCAATCAGCAGAACATGTAACTGAGTAACCAAACAATAACTTCCAGTTCTACATGATTGGTAACAAAAGCATACGCTTAAATACTTGCCTAAACCAAATGAATTAACAATCCGTGAGGTATAAAGAAAAGCTTCCCTTGCTCTCACAAGTCACAACCAACTTCAAGCAACTATTCACCATGCACCATCAGAATAAACGGTTAAATCTCTCATTCCTGTTCTTTACCATCCTTTTTTTTTAAATAGAAATTATCATTTATAAAAGTCAGTTACATAATGGCATGAAAGATCATGCATTGAGATAAAGCGTGAAGATTGAATCAGCCTTGATTAAAAGCATAGAAACAGGCGGAACCTGATCGACAATGTGTGCTTAGCCAAACACACCTAACCAACCACGCCTTCCTCTAACTCTAAATCCTCTGCGTCTACCTCTACCTGTTTGACCACCATTGGGTGCATCTTTTTTTGTTCTCAACTTCATCAGCTTGTTTCTCCTCAGCATCATAAGTTTCCTCCTCCTCATCCTCCTCCTGAATGTCACCATATCATCATCTTAGACCTCGAGATTCCATTTAATAATTGAGTAAAAGGAAAGACACAACGAAAGAAACACATACTTCATCATCATCATCAGCATCGCTGCACTCAAGTGACTTGTTATATTTCTCCAAAAGTTCAGCAGCTTTATCCCTATAAACTTTCTTCTCCTAAAAGTATCAAAAGGAACAAAACTAGAGTAAGAAGACAATAAGCAAACACGAAACTCAGGAAAAGGAACAAAGAACTGAGAGCAAACTCACTTCCTCAGTGAAAGACTTCCACTTTTCACCACCAAACTTTGGAACCTACAAACCATATAGTCTCTTGTAAAACCAATACTCAAGTGAAAGTAACAAAGCTCGGATTACAGTCTTACATCCTTAAGGTTAATAAATCGATTCTCATATCTGTAAATTTCGCGGAAACCATTCCTGCAAAAGTGAAAAAGAAATATCATCATCATCATCATCCCTTTCAATAATAAAACGAGAAGACACATAAGTGAAGAATTAATATTAATTACATGAAAATATAAAACGCAGTAGGAGGAGGCAGCTTCAGCTTTGACTTCTTCCTAACAAATCCAAACAAGAAGAGAAACTCAATATCACATATATATATAGTTTCCAAAAAAAAAAAAAATATCACATATATAATTTGTAATGTATAAACGAGGTCTTACTTCTCTATAGGTTTCTCCTTAGCCTCAGTTTCTGATCATTAAAGCATAAAAACAACAATAAAACGCGATTAAGAGAAGGCAAAGACGAGGAAGAAGAAAGAGATTTGATTACCAATTTTGGCGTCGTCGGGGATGCAACCATGCATACGCCCAACTTGTACACTCTGGTAGCATCTTTCACTGAAATCGGTTAAAATTTAACCTTAAATTTGTGAGGAAGAAACCCTAAAAATCGAAAAATTAACGAAGTTTTCCAGTAAAATACGAATCAAAGCTTGAATTGAGTACCAAAAGACGAAAGCTCTGCCGTCTTTGGCTCGAGTTACTAGTCCTCCCGTCGGCAATCTACGACCATCGGCCATCCTCTTTCTTTTCTCGATCGGAAGGAGATTGATTAACAAATTCTCCGACGAAACGAATCGAATCGATGAGAAGGTCACGAAGCTTGGTTTAGCTCAATTTGTGGCGCTTATATGCTCCCGCGATTTTTTTTTGTTTTTATAATAAACGGTCTAGATTCACTTTCTGCTGCCACTAGTGACGTTTCTTTGTTTTTTGTTTTTAAACTAGGGTTTTACGGGTTAAGATATTTGGGCCGAATGGGCCACTACTAGCTGGATTTGTTAAATGTGTTAGTATCTTCAAGTGGTCTTGACTACATAAACAAGAATAAAATTATAAGGGTCCGGCCTAATTATGTGTATTTTAAGGGCAACCCCATCGATAAATATCGAAAAAATAGAATCTAATCTCAAAAGTAATAGTGTAATACTAATTTGATAATTTGTATTTTTTTGTAATTAAAATTTATTTATTTTTAGAAAATTAAACCAAGCAAAAGTTGAAAAGTGTTAACAAAGGATCCGAAGTTGTGCTTTAAAATGCTTCTGAGTGTCGTTTTAGAGAAAAAAATTTATTACAAATTAAGTGTCGTTTTCGGTTTTCAATGCAAAATTTATTAAATTTATTCTGTAATTTATTTTTCTATTGGTTGAAATAAGGTTAGGTGTATAGGTAATTGTACTTTTATATGAAAAATATGCAAAATTTATTGTTTCCTTAATTTGTGTGCCGAAGTCTAAAACGACACTCACTATAAAACAGAGGGAATATTATTTTAATATTTTTTGTTTGAAAAACTCAGGCGAGAACCTGCTCTAATTAACATTTTTTTTATTTCAAACACCATATAATATTAATTCAAGTCAAATCATTAGATTTGGAGATAACCACACCAGAATCTAAGAATTGATATGGGATAAAACCAAATTTTGTGAGGAACCTCCTAGGTCAGTGTAACACCCTTGTTCCGACGACTGAGGTGAAACAGTCCGAGGAAAGGTTAAGCTAGTCTGATCAGACGAGCCAGTCAGTGAAACATGTGATTTTTAGGGCCAACAGACTATACAAGGAAGACCACTCAACATATTTCGTGTAGCTGCTTATCTGCATAACTTTTGCTTGTGTGGCAAGCCGTTACCACCTAGCAGGAAGACTAAGAAGTGAACAAAACACACAAATTTTGAAGTGGCTAGTCCAACACTGACTTTGATCTTAATCCCATCACCTTTAAGCATTTCCTTAAAAATAGATGATATCTTCTATTTGTCTTTTTTACTTGTCCAGTTCCTACTTCTATTGTTTCAATCTGAACATCTATACCTCTGTGATTTTGTTTTTATTTAAATAGATTATTATCATTTTCATCCAACCAGCAAAACATGTAACTAAGTAAACCAAACAGTAACTTCTATGACTGGTAACAAAAGCACAAGCTTCAATAGAAACTAAAGGAATTAAAAATCAGTGAGCTACCAAACAAACTTCCCTTGCTCACTAGTCACAACCAACTTCAGACAATATTACAATGCCCCCATCAGGATAAACAGTTAAATCTAGTAGTAATAAAAAATCTCTTATTCCTGTTCTTTACCCCCCCCCCTTTTGAAAAAAAATATAGAAATTATCATTTATGAAAGATCATACATCAAGATAAAGCGAGAAGATTGAATCAGCCTAATTAAAAGCATAGAAACAGCCCGAACCTGATCGACAATGTGTGCTTAGCCAAACACACCTAACCAACCACGACTTCCTCTAACTCTAAATTTTCTGCGTCTACCTCTACCTCTACGTCCTCTACCTCTTCCTGTTTGACACCCATTTAGTGCATCTTTTTTGTTTACAACTTCATCAGCTTGTTTCTCCTCAGCATCATCAGTTTCCTCCTCCTCATCCTCCTCCTGAATGTCATCATATCATCATCTTAGACCTCGCGATTCCATTTAATAATTGAGTAAAAGGAAAGACACAACGAAAGAAACACATTACTTCATCATCATCATCACCATCAAGAAGTGACTTATTATATTTTTCCATAAGTTCAGCAGCTTTATCCCTATAAACTTTCTTCTCCTAAATGGACCAAGGAACAAAACGAGAGTAAGAAGATAATATTAGCAAACTCAGGAAACCAAACAGAGAACTGAAAGCAACTCACTTCATTAGTGAAAGACTTCCACTTTTCACCACCAAGCTTTGCAACCTACAACCATATATAAATAAAAACCATATAAAACACTAGTCAAAGTGAAAGTAACAAAGCTCGGTTTTACAGTCTTACATCCTTAACGTTAACATATGGATTGTCACATTTGTAAATTTCGCGGAAACAAATCCTGCAAAAGTGAAAAAGAAATATCAGAATCATCATCATCCCTAACCTATCAGTAAAAAAAAAAAGAAGACACAAAAGTGAAGGTTATGAATATTATTACATGAAAATATAAAAGGCAGTAGGAGGTGGCCGCTTTGACTTCTTCTTCCTAGCGAATCCAAACAAGTCCAATTTATAATAAATAAATAAAGATCACATATATATAAATATATAATTTATAATAAATAAAGTCAGAGATTATGCTAACGAGGTCGTACTTATCTACAGGTTTCTTCTTAGCCGAGGAAGACGAAAGAGATTGATTACCGAGATTTTTGGCGTCGGGGATGCAACGGTGTGTATACTTAACATCTACACTCTTGTAGCATCTTTCACTAAAATCGTTATAAAAATTAAACCTAAATTGTGAGAAACCCTAAAATTCGAAACATTAACGAATTTTCCAGTAAATAATACGAATTAAAGCTTGAGAAGAATTAGTACCAAAAACCGAAAGCTGTGCCGTCTTTGGCGTGAGTCACCAGTCCTTTCCTCAGCAAACCATCGTCACCGGCCATCGATCTCTTTCTTTTCAAAGAAGCTGTGAGAGGGAAACGAAGCTTGTTTTCGCTTATATACTCGCGCGGCTTTTTTTTTAACACGGATTATTTAGGTGTTGATTGTTATCCACCGTTGGTTTTGCATACACATGATAATAAACGGTCTACATTCACTTTCTGTTACCACTAGACGGGGACGTTTTGGTGTTTTTTGTAATCTAGGGGTTTACGGGTTTGGGCCGAATGGGCCGTAAGTATTAAGATATTCGAATATGTCCACTATGTTAGTATCTCCAAGTGGTGCTGACTAAATTAAAAGGAATCAAATTAAAGGTCCGACAACTGAACTGGAACAGTCCGAGGAGGACGGGTTAAGCTAGTCTGATCAGACGAGCCAGTCAGTGGAATATGTGAGTTTCAGGGCCAAAAGACTGTGCGGACTGATACCACAAAGAAGACCATTCAACGTCTTTCCTGCAGTTGCTTATCCGTATAACTTTTGCTTGTGTGCAGTGGCGGAGGTAGAGTCTACTAAGGGACCATTCAATTGACACTCATGAAATTTTATGAAACACATCATTTTTGACCAAATAAATTATATTGACGCCAACAAAAACAGAAAATTAACCCTTATCCTTCTTTTTAAGTGTAGTTCAGCTTTGATCCCTATGGATAAATTTTTTGCCTGCGCCAGTGCTTGTGTGGCAAGCTGTTACCACCTTGTAGGATGACCATGAACTGAACAAACACACATTGATATTACATTTGGTACATGCTTATTCTTATTTAGTTATCGCGTAGAAGAGATGGCCATTGCTGTCATACTGTTGAGGGTGTGTTTGTTTGTTTTGATGGTGTGATGACCAAATTACACAATCTGAAAGCAAAAGAGGCTGGTGAGATGTTGGTGACCATCAAACACGAGTCCGTAGTTGATGTCATACACAGCTTATAGCATAGTGATATGTTGATGTGTTTGATAGCTATAGACTGAAGATGGTTTAAACCCTGAAGACTCTCAGGTGCCGCCGTTTATAGCAGATATGGAAGGAAAGACGTACAATTTTTAAGTCAGGGTTACAACATACAATCTTACTGTATCACACGCATCATTGATGGTTGTGACCCTATGCATGTCCTTGCATTTGTCAACTACGTATGTGTAATGATTTTCTTTGTTGTACTAAAGGCGATATGTGTGTTTCTATAAACATGTTGGTGTAACAGGAATGTGACTATGATGATGGAGACAACCCACACATGGTACCCCTGTTCCAACTGAGTCTGGGAGTGGAGTGAGCTGTGAGGCCACTGTGAATGCTGCTGCAAGTAAATCTGGTGAGGCGTCAAGGAAGCTGGTGGGCTCTGTTTTTATGGTGGTCAAGAAGGCGCGTGTGACGTAATTTGTGATAGCATGACATGTGGACGCAGATCTCTTCATCATAATAAAACTTACTCATCCCTTTCTTTTATCGCTTTTGTTTTAGCTATTTATGTCTTTCACAAGTTCATGGGTGCTTTCAGTGTTCTCTAATAATAGTGGTGGCTGCTATTATAGTACTTCGACAAGTATGTTAATTAAGATATCAGAAGTGAATTCTTATTTTTATGTGGAGTCAATCCTCACACAAATCCATAATACATGCGGCGCGTATTAAAAAGAGTGAAAATTAACGTCACGAATAATTGTGAATAAATTAAATATTATAGGAAATTAAATTAAATTGGTTTTAAGAGTAAAATAAGCACTGTAAACACAAAATGTAAGGTTACTGTATTAAATTAAATGTGATTTTTTAAATACTAAAATAAAAACCGCAACCATAATTTTAATATTGATATGAAAAAAATATATACATATATTCTTGCATAGTACAACAAAGACTATAATGTACAATTACCTGATAACACACAAAAAACAATAGAAATGAAATTAGATAACTTATACTAAAATAAACATATTAAAATATCTATACTGACGTAATAAAAAATAGAATACAATTTCAATAATAATTGTAACAATCATTTTTAAAAAGTTTAGTTAACCTTAAAGAAATTGACTTTGAGCCTTTTACAATAAAGTTCGTGGTCAAAGATGACTAGGTGTTTTGCCCGCACATGCGGGCTTAATTATCTTTAAATCAATTTAAAAAATCACCTAAATAAACGATTATTTGCTTTCAAAAATTTAACCTCAAATATTAAACTTTTTTTACATGATAAAGTTATTCAAAAATTAAAATAAATCTACTTCTTCCTTTTAAGTTTAAAAAATCTAGTCTATTTCTTTTCTTCTTAATTGATAAAAAGATAGAAATCAATCTTTCAATTTAAAAAACTGAATCAAGAAATATACATTCAAAAATTGATCTTACAGAAAGAATAATATTAGTTAGGATAATAATACAATATATTTAAAATTTATTTTTATCAAATACGTATTTTCTTTCTTTTTGAATGATCTTTTATTTTATTATGATTAATTCATGTTTAAGGATTAATTATATAAAATTTAATAAAAAAATTTAATTTAACGTGTGAGTCCAGAGGCGAAAATAACTTCACAAATATATATCATTTTATTATATTATTATATTCTTTTAGTTTGTAAATAATTACGTATTATAATTTTTTAATTTTCTATTTTCAATTATATACAATTAAAAATTTTACTTTATGAAGATTTATTTATGTGTTTTATGTTTTTGAATTTTTTGACTAAATATATTTTTTGGACAACAACACAACATATATAGGAATTATCTTTTTTTTTTAAATATATATTTAGATTATGGATAATTCTTATCATTGTTATTAATTTAAATCATTTATCTAATCAAATAAATATTACTTTCGTTTTTATTATTGGCTGATTAATATATTTATTCATTAAGGGTATAATCGATATTAACCACTCTAACTTTTAACGTGAGAGCTCCGTTGCGAAAAATCACTATCTAATCAAATAAATATTAAATTCATTTTGATTTTTGGCTGATTTATATATTTTATTCATTAAGAGTATAAACGATATTAACCACTCTAATTTTTAATGTGAGAGCTCCATTGCGAAAAATCATTTCGCAAATAATAGTATTTTCAAATATCATATTTTTCAATTTTTTCTTTTCAGTTATATACAACTAAAAATTTTACTTTATGAATATTTAGTTATGTGTTTTCTATTTTTGAATTTTTTTATTAAAATATATTTTCACGATAACAACACAATATATATCTAGGAATTATCTTTTTAATTTATTTTAAACATATATTTAGATTATGGATAATTCTTATCCTTATTATTAATTTAAATCATTTATCTAATCAAATAAATATTAAATTCGTTTTTATTTTTAGCTGATTTATATATTTTATTCATTAAGGGTCTAAACGATATTAACCACTCTAACTTTTAACGTGAGAGCTCCGTTGCGAAAAATCACTTCGCAAATAATAGTATATATTTTTATTTTTAAATATATATTTATATTATGGATAATTCTTATCATTGTTATTAATTTAAATCATTTATCTAATCAAATAAATTTTACTTTTGTTTTATTATTGGCTGATTTATAGATTTATACATTAAGGGTATAATCGATATTAACCACTATAACTTTTAACGTGAGAGCTCTGTTGCGAAAAATCACTATCTAATCAAATAAATATTAAATTCATTTTTATTTTTGGCTGATTTATATATTTTATTCATTAAGAGTATAAACGATATTAACCACTCTAATTTTTAATGTGAGAGCTCTATTGCGAAAAATCATTTCGCAAATAATAGTATTTTCAAATATCATACTTTTCAATTTTTTCTTTTCAATTATATACAACTAAAAATTTTACTTTATGAATATTTATTTATGTGTTTTCTGTTTTTGAATTTTTTTATTAAAATATATTTTCAGGATAACAACACAATATATATCTAGGAATTATCTTTTTAATTTATTTTAAACATATATTTAGATTATGGATAATTCTTATCATTATTATTAATTTAAATCATTTATCTAATCAAATAAATATTAAATTCGTTTTTATTTTTGGCTGATTTATATATATTTTTTCATTAAGGGTATAAACGATATTAACCACTCTAACTTTTAACGTGAGAGCTCCGTTGCGAAAAATCATTTCGCAAATAATAGAATAGATTTATATTTTTTAATATATATTAAAATTATGGATAATTCTTATCATTGTTATTAATTTAAATCATTTATCTAATCAAATAAATATTAAATTCGTTTTTATTATTGACTGATTTATATATTTATTCGTTAAGGGTATAAACGATATTAACCACTCTAACTTTTAACGTGGGAGCTCTGTTGCGAAAAATAAATTCGCAAATAATAATATAGAAATAATAATATATTTTTACTTTAAAATATATATTTAGATCATGGATAATTCTTATCATTGTTATTAATTTAAATAATTTATCTACTCTAACTTTTAACGTGGGAGCTCCGTTGAGAAAAATCACTTCGCAAATAATAATATAGATTTTTATTTTTAAATATATATTTAGATTATGGATAATTCTTATCATTGTTATTAATTTAAATCATTTATCTAATCAAATAAATATTAAATTTGTTTTTATTATTGGCTGATTTATATATTTTTTCGTTAAAGGTATAAACGATATTAACCACTCTAACTTTTAACGTGGGAGCTCCATTACGAAAAATCACTTCGCAAATAATAATATAAAAATAATAATATATTTTTATTTTTAAATATATATTTAGATTATGGAAAATTTTTATCATTGTTATTAATTTAAATCATTTATCTAATCAAATAAATATTAAATTCTTTTTTATTCTTGGCTGATTTATATATTTATTCATTAAGGGTATAAACGATATTAACCACTCTAACTTTTAACGTGGTAGATCCGTTGCAAAAAATCACGTCGCAAATAATAATATAGATGGATAATTCTTATCATTGTTATTAATTTAAATCATTTATCTAATCAAATAAATATTAAA